TTGGTGGCAGTGAATCCACATCACTCGCCAGAATGGCAGACTTGGGTATTAAGATCGGCACAGCAAAAAACGAGACGCACACCAGACGCTTGTTAATCAACATAGATCTGGTACTATTAGCAATCGGACGTTGGGATTCATACCGAGGGGAGGATCTGAGCACCTATGGACATGTCCGGAGTGCAATGAGGATAACCCAACTAACTAACTAACTAACTAACTTCTCATGTGCTCACCTCATGTATGGAGAAAAAAAAGTCTCTTCATTTACATATGTGGACTCACTCACCTTATGCGTGAGAAATGTCCTTTACATAATGTGCATTCACTTCATGGATGATAAAGGATCTACTGCTTTTCTTTATTATACTTCTCTTTAGGAACTAACTATTTCTGCGAATGATTATACAATGTCCACTAAAAACAAATGCAAATATAAAATGTTGCAATGAAAGTGAAGCTTGCTGCTACGACAAGGAAAATAACGTAAAATAATGTGAGAAACACAATAGACAAAACTGTCAGGGAAGTGGTTCCAACCAATCTCCAATAGTTGTCTCTTGCATTCCCAGAAGAGCTAATCAAAACAATGCCATAAAGATGCCCTTCTTTAATGAAGGCCATGTGCCCTAAAATGAGGCCTCATTCACAAAGAATAAAAGTGCAAACTAAATGTAATGAACTTCTTTGCATTGCTCTCCCCATTTTGGTTCCTGGTTACCATTGTGGGGAAAACAAGAATAGACCCACTTCCTCTTCAACAAGCATGTTGTAGGCATAGACTAAATGAGGGCATCCATCTAAGTCATAGTATATCTGCATGCATAGCAAGGAACCAAGAGTCTGCATACAAATAAGCCAGATCTGTGAAATGGATGTGCATGCAACACTTAAGGTTTTGGAGCAAGACCAAAGTCCGGAACTTTCCGACTGATTTTACAGCAGGTGAACAAGAAGACGACATCATTGTTCAAGTGTGAAGTTTCTTCGTGTCAACATTAAAACATTCCTTGAAATAAAATGTAGGTACAAATTTGAAGTTACAAATGCAACAGTGTTGTGTTTCTTTCTGTGCAGTCTATAATGGTTTTCTGAAAGCTCTTTTTTTAGCTGCTTTTTGTTTTTTTACACTGATGATAAAATCATATTTGTCTTTAGGTTATTTGGCTTGCATCTGTCTGAGAGGCAAGAAACCAAGAGTCTGCATAGCAAGATCTGAAAAATGCATAACAGATGCCCAACTCAAGTTCTGGAACAAGACCAAAGTCTAGAAGTGGACAAATCACCAAAACTCTCTGCCATAGTTGCCAGTTGGTGAACACTAAGAAAGAGGAGGTTAATGAGCTCGAGTTGACATTAGTGATCATGATTTAAATCTGATATTTTGATGAATTTGGTGTTGCTTAAATTATTATCTAATGTTTGTAGTTTAAACAGTCATAGTTTTATCCATCTTTTCGCGTTAGAAGTTAGATTATCTTATTCTACCATATCTGTTGAAATGTGCCCTACAACTTATTTGTAAAATAAAGGGTGTCTCTCATATCAAGATCCACATTTTGGGTTCCAGGGCCTCATTATAGGGAAATAAAGAATAGACCCACCGTCCCTCTAACAAATAAAAGGCCACTATTTAAGGGTTTTTCGCTTTAAGTCGGAGTGCATCTGCCAGAGACATAAGGGACCAACAGTGGCATACAAATAATTGAGATCTGTAAACTGGGTGTGCATGTGAAACTCAAGTTCTAAAGCCTAGATGTGGATGAACAACAAAATTTTCAACCAGAGTTTACAGCCTGTGAAGGCTAAGAAGAAGAAGAAGAAAAGTCAGGAAACTAATAACAATTTCTGGTCAGACAAGAAAAACCAGTAAGAGAAGGCAGGTAAGTTTCAAAACTATCTGATCCGACATAGCAGAGCATTGACTAGAACTAGCTACTTTATTTTGATTTGTAAACTGACAATACCCTTGACAGGCAAAATCACTGGAAATTAATGAGGCACAATTGAATATCACAGAACATTTTACTCAATAAAGTCAACATGCAGATTTCTTGAGGGAAAACTAACTACAAAAATAAATCAGGCTCATGATAACATAGTCTCCTTTAGTGACATCTCACTTCAAGGGGTGAAATAATACACATATTTAGCTAACAATATAGACACTAATATGGGAACAAACATCAATTTAATAATTAAAATACAAACGGTGAGAGGAGCTATCATAACACTAGGAAATATATGTCAGTCTAAAGAAATTAAAAGACCTAAAAATTTAACTTGACCATCTAATCTGTATGGAAAAGAAACATGGAGAGTGACTAAAACAAATACTAATAAGCTACAAACATTTATTAACTGGTGACCATGCAGAAGAAATAACATTGTATTAGAAACTCACAAATGTGGAGATCACAGACAGAAGCAAAAGAAATTCCAGTGAAATCAAGGTCAGGAAAAGATGGTGCTGAATAGGACACACTGAGAAAACTTGATAAACCTATTAGATTGTTGTTTAAATGAAATTAACAAAGCAGGATACTCAAAAATAGACAGAAAAGAATAGATTTTAGACAAATATGGAGAAAATCATGGAGCAAGCTGCACAAGATGACAAAAGAAAAGACGGTATTTGGTTGAAAGACTGCTCTGATTTGGAATAAAGGGCAGAAGCAGAAGAGGAATCAGCCAACATATGTTAAGCAATCTTTGATATCTATTTATCTTACTTATTGTGTTTTGCATTTATTCATCTACAGCCAAAAACTGCCATTACTGTCTGCATTTAACACTTTTGCAATGTAGGTCTTTGAGCCTGAGGAAATAAGGTTGTATGACTAGCATCACTGCAGATATATGTTATGTGCCCTTTGGTAAACATATCAAGCCTATCAACCACACCAGAAACAATGATTAACTTTTCTAATGCGGTCTTCTTAGATTTTGTGAATGAGTTGATTTTGTTTAAGCAAAAAAAAAAGTCTCCAGTTGACAATTCCGACTGCTTTCTATGAGCATTATAATGTTCATCATAAGATTTAGACACACAAGAAATGTGATAAGATGCACACAATTTCTGAATACTTTATTCTGACAAAACATATAAAAGTAAACAAGATTTTCAAAATGAAACCCTGCTTAACAAAACAAACAAATAACAGAAAATAAATCACTTCCAATCCAGATAAGTTAACATAGAAAATATCCAGCAAATATTTCTTGGATATATTGTCAATTAAGTACAACAGTAAATGTGTAAATTCAAACATCATACAATGATCGGCTACAATTAACTCACTGATTAATGTATTCAACAATGAACATCAGCATTTGTAAATCAATGCAGATCATACCAGACAAATGATACTGGAATTCCCTCTAATTTTGCTTGAAACTGATGTAATTAGTTCGATTCTGTAACCTACTAAGCAAAATACAGTATGTTATTCAGCCTCATAAAGACATTTTAACTGTTTTGTTGTTTTCAGACATTCAACACAAGAGGTCATCTTGGTTGACTACTATAATGGGTGAACGAATCTTTATATTACAGCTTTCATTTCTGTAACTTTATTTTAGTACATAAAATAAAACAGTCAATATGTTTTTGTTGGCCTAATATAGTAATATATTTCAAACACACACTTTTTATCTAAACTGAGACGATGATTCTGCTGTCAAGAGAGACAACCCACTGCACAAAAGAATATACAAGTGTGACATAATTAAATATAGTGTTGTGCATTTTCATATACTGGAGAGTAATTCAATGTTTCTTTTTTCTCTGTCATAAAGTTAAAAAAAACTTTAAATCAGTGATTCCGAAACTGTGCGCCGAGGTGCCCCAGGGAGTGGCAACCTCTTCACAGAACTGAAGAAAGGGGCAGCAACTAAGAAAAGTTTGGGAAACACTGCTTTAAAAAACTAATAATCTGAATGAATAAATGCATGTTATAAAACACGCACAATTTCTCAGTACTTTAACCTGTTCTTGCTTTAAATCTAACTTCATCTTATTAGTATATAAAACATAATGTAATCTAATGAAAAATAAAATCAGTGATTGTAAAATACTCATAAATTGCATATGACTAAACATACAGAATTTTATTTTTAAAACCAGCCATTTTGTCTCAATAAATAGCATGAAATTATTTATACAGCAGATTACCCTTTAGTTTACTGTTTATCTTCTGGTTCCAAGTATTGTAGAATAGTATTTGTGTCACAGTACACTAAAAAGACTTCACTATCCTTTGCCAGTCTACTTACAATATGCAGTATTATGCACAGGATGTCTTTAATATTGTGTCCAAAACTTCCATTGATATTCTTTCTAAACTACTGTGACATGTGCCTTAAATATTTTAATTTCTGAAGTACAACACTACCTATACCCAAAATTTGTTCTGGGGTTCGATTTCTGTGAGGCCGGTGGGGGGTGTCTGTGTGAAGAACAGACCTATTACCCCTAACAAGTAAAAGACGACTAATCAGGGGTTTGCTGAAAATGGATAGTTGTACTGAAAGGTTCAGATATTGCAGCCTTGCTGTAAATGACAACAGAGTGTGCCAACCGCCCTTCTAAGAGCAAAGAAGAAAGAAGAGTTAGATATTATTTATAAGTCAAGTTTCTTTTCTTTTTGGTCTACAATATTTTAAGGATTTCAAATCATATGTAAGTGCAAAAGCTAAAATTTGCCTTATTAATATTGAGAAACTGTCCATGATTCACATCCTTAAGCTGATTTTACCAAAATGCTAACTTTATTTCATAATAATTATCTAACTTTATTTATAGAGTAATCCAGTCATTTCCCCAGGTTTATTAAAGCTCAGCAGTAATAATTCTGTAACTCTGTATTGCACATTATCATTTCTACATTTAAACTTACCCTTTCTACCGTTATATTACAGGACATTAAAATTACATGGTTTTCAAACAGACGGTCATGATTGTTTAGCTAACATCCAGTTTAATGTGACTCAAGTTAATGTCAATAGTGCATAGGTCCATCAAATCTGAACTGTAATTTATCAACAGCAGCATCAGAATTAATGGCCACAAATGGTGGTGCTGGAAGATCATTTATAGTTTCATAAACTGCACACTTCTTGAAGGCGCATGGGGATTCTCTCCATGCATAACGCAAACCTCGGAGCTGCTGCCCTGGGTTACAAACATTTGAGAAGAGAGTGACAGCTGTTGTGTTATGGGCTATAATACTTGTTGGGATCCATTCTTCTGCTACACCCTTAACACAGAGGATCTGAAATAAACAGACATAAATATGTTATCAATATTTTAAAATGGAAAAGCTGAACATTTAATTCTTGTACTTTTGATTCTCTACATAATCCTAATTCTTCTTCTTCTTTTTCTAATTCTTCTTGTCCTCTGTCTTATTCTGTCACACATGTCTAACCCAGATTTAGATGTGAATTGGACCTTTTGTCTACAAGGCGTAGTTTTTTATGGACCATAAAAATGAGTGGAAGTATTTTGAATCTTAAATTTGTATTCTTGAAGTAGAACCTCAAATTCAAGATACTTTATTTTCACATATTATTTCAAGAAGGATGATTAGGAACAGCTCAGGGGTACCGAATCCACCTCTACCCTGAAAAGTTCGGACTAGAATGCAAGTCTGAATGATTTGTTCATGAAATAAGTAACCCAAGTAAATTATGTGCCACTGTAATTGTGAGGGAAAAAAAAAAAAAAGGGGGGGGGGGGGGGGTAATTAGCCTTCCAGTAAAGTACACAATGTAAGGACTCTTTTTATACCAGTGGCACATCAGTCATATAGTTGTAGAAACGTGTGTTTATAAACTAGTCAGCAAGTAATGAGAAATAGCGTCAAATCAAGCTGGCTTTTGTTTCCAAGAAAGGAGTTCTGGCCAAAAAACCTACAGCCAGCTGACAATTTATTTGTTTCAAGTTAACTTTTGCCGTTTTAAAATCACCATTTCCAGACCAGTAGTTCAAAGTTTCCTCACCCAGCTACTAGCTGAGTACTTGGTAGGACTCTGTGAGTTGTGGATTCCATTTGGAAGGTGTTTTCTGTTGTGCGGTACAATGCTGGCTTTTGTGATTGACAATCAGCGCCGAAAGTAAGCTGAAGTTCTGGTGTAGGACTACTAGTGTTGGAACATCTGACATGTGCCATATGCATTGTTATTTTGTGAGTGAGAGCTTCAAGATGTTGATGGGACTGATTAATTGAAGGACATATTGTGAGATTTTCATTGGCACAGGAACAGAGCAGTATTGGGGCGTATTGGAACTTCCACTAATGTCTAACTTCAAAGAAATTATCCGGTAACTATTTTAGCCTGGGTCGATATTAAAGAAGGATCAAACATAGAAAATTTGCCCTAATATAGATTCACACCCAAGACCTTCAGCATTTAGCCACTATGTTACTATGGAATTGGGTCTTTATGGACAAAAAGAACAAACCAGGATCTTAAGCCTAAATGCTGTGTACATTCAACAAAACTGGAAATTGTAGAGAGCATACTGTAAATTTCTACTGAACATGTGGCATCAATTTAATAATTAGAAAAGTTACCCACAATTTGTGAAACTACTATGCATGTTATAAAAGGCACCTAAGGAGGGATAGAAATAGACTGGATATATCATTCCAAAGAAAACCTGACCAAAAAATTAATCCAGCAGTAAACAAGTCAAAAGGAACCTGACATGACGTGATTAAGGGCATGTACTCCTTTGGATAATAAAAGAACTGAATCTACAGGGAAGATGGAATGAAAAGGACAGTTAGAGATCATGAGAGAAGACAGTTTAAGATCACTTACTGAAGAAACATCTATATCAAAACTGGCAGTAAATAAGACAAAAGGCTGTGGATAGACATTACCAGTGCCACATGGCATAAGTAGAAGGAAACCACAACAGACAATACTGTTATATTACATATGAATGAATGTTGTTCATCCATCTGAAAGTGATAAAGACCAAGACCACTTAGAAAGCAAAGGTAGTAACTATCAAAGATTGAGTAAAAATGTGTCTGATGAGACCGATGTGAGCTGAAAAGTTCTTAAGAAGTGTAGACAAGGTGGCAGTGGGGGTGGGATGAGCCACACTGTTCTTTCTAGTCTGCCCATTTCTTTGACAGTGCGACCTCAGTTACTTGGCAGGCTGATTGCACCATGCTTGAGGACTGTACACCATTCATATCATTTTTGTGCAACAGCCTACTATCTTTCTTTCTTAAAGACAAAAGATTTAAGAGTACCCTGATAGTGTTTTCTGTTATATGACAGAAAGAAAACAATTAAAATACAAACCTCAAAACCTTCTGTGTCTTTGATTTGTAAGTTTGCAGAGTCTCCATAATCCAGAATTAAATTATCAGACACGACATCACCTTTCACAGGAAATGGCCCCTGGAACACTTCTTGTTTTCCATAAGCAACAGCCAGTCCGGATAAAGTTAATCTGAACCCAACATCTGTTTTATCTCTAGGGTGAATGCTAACAAATGGAAAGAATATTAAAAGAATAAAAATTTCACACAAAATCTCTAAATTATAAATTATAGGAAAACTGCAGCTAATTAATCAATATTTGGACTATAATGACAAAGGAGTTCCAGCGCTTGCTTACTTGCAATTTAAACCCCACTATTGGCCTGATTTTTGCAAATCATTACGGAGATGGAGTAAATGGTGTGTAATATTTGTAAATAGTTTATGATTTATCTACTACTAATCAGTCAGTAGCCTGTCCTTTGCAAAACCTTGCTCTCATAACAACCTTTTCAATTACAAGCAAGATGTCCTGCCTTGATACACCAATCTTCTCTTTGGCCTTCCTCTTCCTCTCTTTCCCTACTACTAATACATAACAAAAGGGTTGAAAAATATATTTTTCTGTATTCGGTTTTAGATAATTAAGTTATCTAGGTGAGATTTTACATCTTGTCTAGATAACTAAGTTATCTGAAACCCAATAAAGAAATTTTTCAACCCTTTTGTTATGTATTAGCAGTAGATCCTCAGTCTTAATAATGCTCTTGGCAGAGCTCATCGACGAATGTTACATCTTCCCTCGACACTTCAAAGAGGTATAAGGTGGAAGAGACGAAGAAGGAGAAGAAGAAAAAACTGAGTAGTAGATAAATCATAAACTGTTTACAAATATTACACATTTTATTTTCACACATACACCTACTCAGGCACACACACATATACAGTAATGATCTAGGTGATCATGATAAAAGTATATTTGTGTGTGTGGACAGATTTCTTAATCTTCAGGCTTTCACAATCCAAGTTCACATACACACATAAAAACTGCCATTCTTGCTTATATTTACTATCTTAAGGCAATGTAGGACAAGTGGGTCTTGATCCTGAGCATTCAGGCAGTCAACCTGAACTGTGAAGGTTAGGATATTTCTGTCTCCAACAGAAAAAAACAACTGATCACTTCACTGAAGATTTTAACCAAGTCTCTTACATGAAAGCCTAGCATTCTAACCACTTGGCCAGTCACTCCATACATACTTAAATAAGGAATTATTATTATGGTGATATCAATAGGGCATGACATTTCCTTGGGGGAATAGAGACAAAGATGCTGAAAATATCTTATATGCACAACCAAACAGATTTTAAAAGACACTTCAATCTGCATGACAAAATCTAAATCCTAAAGATAAATATTAACTTATATCAGAAGCATACAGTCCTTTCTTTAGACATGTCCTGTGCCTCAACAAGCATGTGGTAGAGGTGACTAATTAGGGGTGTTTCCAATAAAACTGGAGTGCTTCTGTCTAAGCAGTACACACACAAAAAAAAAACCCTGCATCCAAATAAGCCAGATCTGTAAAATGGATGTGCATGCAAAACTCAAGTTCTCGAACAAGACCAAAGTCCAGAAGCAGACGAACAACCAGAACTTTCTAACAGAGTTTACAGCCAGTTAACACTGAGAATAAGTAGAAGATATTGACTAAGGTTGCCTGGCGAGATCTAACTGGTGTTAACAAGTATGGGACCAGCATCATCTTCTGTTTCTCTGTTCACTCTGAACAGGGATATTTGTATGCTGCCTCATGATTTACGGCTAGCCTATATGATATTTGCTCCTTTTGGCCCAACAACTTTCAGCACATTTCTAGTTAGTCACCTAATATCCTTTTATGACATGCTTGTTAGGGGCAGTTGCCCCCCCCCCCCCCTCCCCCCAAGAACACTCACAGAGGAAACAGCTCTAAATACTAAATGTGCTTCAAGGCATAGAAAATAAACTGAACATTTCCTTTTTTTTTTTAAAAACACACAGTAACACATAATTTAGATTACACAAAACTTACGAGCCATATGATGAGCTGAAGTCTGGCAAATCCATAGCTACAGCCATAAATACATTGGGCATGTCACGGTTTGGTACATAACCCCAGTCAGCCGTCTGGTGGAATCTTATATCAGAAAACCCAACAGATATTGACTGATCATTTCTATTTGGTGCCAACTGTAATGACAGAAAACAACAAATGTAGTATCCAATTTTGTTAATACACTTTTTCACATGCCATTTCTTATGGGATTGTCATTCTCCCCATAACATTTTGACTGTCTCTAAAACAAAAAAGAAAATGTATGCCATCACCATAATGAAGATTGGCAGCAAGTAGGCATATCCACTGCTAACCATGGACATATTGTGTGGTAAAGCCCCAATCTTCTCCATGGTGTGACTCTTGCACCACTGTGTGAAAGCTATGTGGAATGATCTTTTATGATTCTCTATTCAGTCTCAAATTTAGCTTAGTTTGCTTGCTGTCCTCCATAGTAAGTTCAGACAAAAGTCGCATGCAATAATTTCTGAAAGCAGTGCCTAAGAAAAGTTAAAAGTCGAGAGGATTGACTTCACTGCTCCAGGTTATCCCATCTAGCTAGGTCTCTCCCAATTCATTGGAAACCACCTGCTGAGAGCCATCGCTCAAAGCATGAACTCCATAAGTCCAGTGTTAACCGCCAGGGATCCCCAGAAAAATTACACTTGTGAATTGAACAGCATGTATGTGAAATGAACCCACGACATTCACAGTTTGAGAGACATAAATATCAAATAGTAAAAAGAAAAGGAAATCAGTAAGTATCCCATTTATAGCCCAGACAGACCTCTACCACAACTTAAAGATGTGTACAAGCGTGACATATAAGAACAAAGAGCCATGGACTGTGTTGTGTGGATGGGGCACATCAGGAAGGGAATGAGAATGAAGAAAAAAATTATTGTAGAAAGGATGAGAGCTGAGTGTCGGAGAATAAAAAGATTAAACACAAATGTTTGCAACGGTCCTGAAATCCCCTTGTGGAAGACTTTTCTTAACGCTAGACAAACTCACCATCATCATGGGCTATGAGTCCTCTTTCCCACCTCCCTCCCCCCGACAATAGGGAAATATAATACTATCGCCTGGAAAGATGGAAAGGTGCCAATCAACCCAGTTAGATTACCAGGATATTGTTTAAATTACTTCTACCAATCTTCCATAATGCATGATAAGAATAAGAACGATCTTAATTACTATTATTTATTATAATTTCGTCTTTTTTTACCACGACCGTTGCTCAGTAATTCTGCTATCAATAAAAAGTATTTATTACATTTCATGGGTAATGAAAGTAACATGACAAGAGTTCTTGACAGCCATTCCTATTAAAGCTTTAAACTGAAAAGAAAAAGAAGACAATATACCTGCACAAAACCAAAGGGGAATGAGGCACTTGTTTGTCCATTTGAAAATTTGTTAAAGTTTTTTCTCCAGTCTTTAATCATTGTTGGAAAAGTGCAGTTATAGCGATTCATCATGGCACCACTTGCGTCATTTTCACCTTAAATAAAAAGAAAGGATGTAAAGTGCATATCATTTTAAACAAACAAGAATATTTTCTTATACTTGTATAATTCAGCTCAATACTTAAACTGGCACCACACTTAAATGCTTCATGGATGCAAAACATTCAACACTGAATATATTTTATAGATGTGTGTAATAATATGCTTATTTTCTTCTCTAGTGTTCACCTCTAACTGCCAAACTGTATCACCCTAAAATATTTACTTACTGGGTAATATCTTTTTCTTCTATTACCTTGTACCAGCTAAGAGAGCATAGAACCTCAATTAATTTCAATTAGGAATCCCTTTTTTACATCCACGCTCACCATAGGGGGGGGGGGGGGGGGGGGGGGGGGGGGGGGGGGGGGGGGGGGGGGGGGGGGGGGGGGGGGGGGGGCAATTGCTTAGCGTCCCATCTGGCAGCTAATCAAACACAGAAACAAAAGCAAATGTTGATAGCAGCTTTTTCTTTCATGTTAAATCGGCCTCATACTGGACTATTAGTTATGATTAAAATAACAGTTTTATGTGATTGATCAGGTTTCTGTAATTCGTACCTGTTTGATTCTTATCTTTGAGGTGTTAATCTTACAGAATGCAAACACGGAAGAGAAACACTAATCAACCCATGCTGTTACATGATTAGGGAGATCACTTTGGTGGCCCACGGATCATAGAACACTGCTCCCCATTATATTCACCTGTCTCCAATTCCATTCCCACAAATGTTTTTGGTTACTCATTTTTTTTTTTATTCTGCAGGCTCAAATGTATCAGGTTTTCACAATCAAGTTTGGCCAAATGGCACACATTTTTAAATGTAAGCATGTGAATATTAACATTTAAAGAACATTGTTCAAAACGATATTCTTACCAATGCTTTTTTACCAATGTTAAACATAGACACTGTCTTCAGAAGAGAGCAGGAAAATAGTAACGACAGAAATTAAACGTTTACGTACTATGCTGTATGATGTAAGAAGGAAAGATCGATTTAGGAATGATGATATCAGGAGGGGAGTCAGCATAGAACCAATACTGAACTTTATAATTAGATAACAAATCAAATAGTTTAGCCATGTAACAAGATTAGCACCAGACAGGGCACCACAGACAGCAATGTTATACATATACAATAGTAACAAAACCAGAGGTCGACCATGCAGAAGATGGACCACAGAAATATAAGAGACACTGGAAAGTACTTTAAATGAAGAAAACACAAGGGCCCAATCTCTTCCTGCCCTGACACCATGAGGCATTCCAGGAGTAGAGAAAAGAAGACAAATGTTTCACAATGAGTGTCTTTTACATCCCCATGTTAAAAAAAACTTGTGAAAATATTACCATCTGTGATGTAAGTTTTAAACTACTTCAACTTTTTTTAAAGTGTAATAATACCAAGGGTGTGCTCAAGTGCTTGGTACTGCAGCCAACAGACTTGAGGTTGTTTTTCTTCAGAGAGGTGAAAAGTGAAATTAAGTAGCCTGTCAATAACCCGTAGAGACACCAGGTCAACCCCACCTTCTTATGGTGCATGCTGGAAAACTAAAGCCATGAGGTTTCAGGTTCATCTGGGAGGAGACTGGCATCAACCAAGTTAGTTGATTTTTCTTGCCCCACCATGCAACAGGTCCTTCAAGCTGGCAGTAGTGTAATCAGCCACTTCTACAAACAAATGAATTATCATGACACTCGGCTACAACCGAAGCCATGAGATGACAAAAGAAGAATAATACCAACACCCTCAAGCATAAAGAATCATTTAGAAGAAGCATTGGTAAAACACAGAAGAAATTGTAAACGTTATACCTTGGTACCATATGGCTCCATAAATGGTCATACCAAGCAGTGGATTTACCATGGCATTCCACAGAACTGTGTTAGTTTGAGGTCCTGTGAGCTTAGCTCTTTCAGCTTGAGGTAGCTTCTCCACATACCTGGATATATTTGAAAAAAAAAAAAACATAAAGATTTAACACTGATGATAACGGTTGGTTAGCAACATTTATGTGTCTGCTCAATGTATGAACAGTTTAACCCTATCAGCCACAATGATATAGATTAACTGCTATTCTTTGTTCTACAAAGAGGATAGAACTTTTCCAGAATCATAGCTAACATTTAGTTCATTTATGATTAAAACACACAATGTTTCTTTTTTTAATTTTTATTACTTATAGTTAGTGTAAACTGTGGCATATAAGTTGCATTTCAAGCCTAAATTTTTTTTATAAAACTAGAGGTTGACTTATATGGCAGACATAAAAAGAGTTTCAAAGTGTGGTTAATGGGCTAACTCTTATATACTCAGGAAAAGAAGATCAAAAACACAGGGAAGGAATAGACATTTTGACACCCAGAGCTGCAAATTGTGTGTCAAAATAGGAGCCTATTTCAAGCAGAATGATCAGAGCTTGTTTAAGCACTAGACATTAAAATGACCAGCATTCAATATTATGCACATTTAACGATGCTGAGTATGAGGATAAAGATATCTTTTATGACCAACTGCAGCACTGGGTAAAAAAATTGTTAAACATGACCTAGTGGCAAAAGCAGGTAGTGAAAATAATGGTGTTGAGAGAGCTATAGGAAAAGGAGTCAATGAATGAAACTAGAGAATGACTAGCTGAATTCTGTATGCAGTCACGAGTAATTGGAGGAACCATCTTTGCCCTAAAGGAGATTCATAAACTAAGTTGGTGCTCACCAGATGGAGCAACTAAAAATCAAATAGACCCCCTCTGTATAAACAACGAATGATGGATAAATTAAAAATATTCTGTAAACACATGGGTCTAGCCCAATGTGCATATTACGTAAAAGGGGCTGTTGTTTTATTTGATTGTCTCAATTTTATGCTTTCTTAAATACCAGCTGCAGCTGTATAATTATAATAATGAATTGCTGGGTGGAAATTAATATATATTAATTAGTACTATCAATTTCACAAATGATAATGAATGGATTCATCTCTTATCAAGACTAGAAACAAGTTTTAAAAGAGTTTCAAAAATATGTCTTTGGAAATATATACTCAATATACTCGCTTTCATGCACTACCGTGAGAAGAAAAAACCATTTTACCTTTGATATCCTGATGGCTGTTGCCTGGCAGTGTTGTCTGTGCTGGTGACTCCACACTCAGCAAGAGCTTCAGGGGATGACCATGCCTCTACAGGAGTGCCACCCCAGTCTGTGGCCACTAAACCAATGGGGTAGCCAAGTTCCTTATGTATATTTTTTCCAAACAACCAGCACACAGCAGAGAAATACTCCCACGCTGGACCACCTACGCTTGCTGAAATAAATATGTATAGTGGAAAAATTAATAATGTGCAAATACAATGCATTTTCCAATTTAAACTCTTTTCTTTTGCAGCGTTTGGTGTAGAGGCACTTCATAGTGTTTTTTTTTAAATGCTTGATGTTATTTGGCATGTGTCAAGTAGTGGACATCTTTTCCTTACCTTTAGACACAGTGAGCATACATTAAACACAGTGAAACCTTGTTAACACTAATTCCAAGGGATCAAAAAATTAAGTTTTTTTTTTTTCAAACTGAGGATAATAATAATAATACATCTCTGCTGAGACCAAAATTTTGTTAGAATTAACCGAGAGTTCATCAGAAGCAAGATTGTGTTAGGTTTTACTGGGGGAAAAAAAGGACCTCTTTCCCTGCCCTGTTAAATAATTATTATTTCTTCCTGTTGCATGCCACTTAAAGAGTATAGAAATATACTAAAAATGTGGCTAATTATTTCATTATGTTGGGCATTTCATGTCACAGCCTAAAACTATGTTATGGTCCAACGCTTCCCATTTTAACAACGTAAGTGGTGAAGCACTTATGCATTGCTATAGAGGAAACAGTTCAGCTGTTTAATTTATCATTAATGGCTTATGATCTATTTTGTAATCATTAAGGAGAAAAAAGGGGCTGATGAGCCTAAAAGCTACAAAAAAGATCCTCAGAATACCATGAACAAGAAGAAAAGAAATACTGACACCTTAAAAGATCAGAATATCAAGGAAGATGCACCATGGAGGACTGGAAATATCAGTGACAGAGGGCATGGTACCAGCAAAGATGGACAGAAGTCTACCAGCAAGAAGATGGGCAGAGGATATTATAAGAGACATCTTGAGTAGGAAATTACACAAGGTGAGAAAGCTGGAGAGGGACTGAGTTTTTGTTAAAGAAAATATGAACTGTGATAAGGGCAACATTCTGTAAAGGACTTGCAACATGATGTTGATATATCAAAAATGTTCAAACTACCACTTGACTTTTCCCCACCTGTGGTCAATTCCGCGTGCATCTCACTTTCTAGCCAACACTTGGGGTTCGCAACCCACTTGTGCTGTCGACCCACACAATATTCTAGACGTCCCCAAGTCTATCATGAACTTCAGGTGACTCATGTTTTCTCCAGTGATTCGTGATCCACTCTCTTCCAGTGACCCCAAAAGTTTATATTCCCACCCTGTCACACAAAGTCCTGAATGATGATCTACACCACCACGGCATCAGTCTGAGTGATAAACACTGTTTAAAGTGCACCCATTCGGATGGGGATCACCTGGGGGACAGGCCCTAAAAACCCTGTTCAACCCATAGGTTGGGTTATATTAGGACCCACAGCAACAGCCAGAGTAGGGATTTGAAATTTAAAAAAATTGCGGTTGATGATACAGTGACTACACAAAGTCCTGGCTTAGTTAACTCTTTATACCCCACAGTGATTTAGCACACAACAGCAACCACAATGTTTCTCTGATACAAACTACTACACATACCACTGCTGGGTGAAGTCCAATCTTCCTGGATGGAAATCAAGTCATACAGAGGTGTGGGAGATTGTTCTTCTGCTACTGTCACAAGTCGAACATTTGGGTAATTTTTGGCTTCTGCTATTTCTTGTTTAGCTTGCAGCATCTGTTATAACGAGTTGGAGAATAATTACTGAAAGTCATTTCTTGGATCACAAGTACAAACACAAACAGGCAAACTGGCTGACACCTCTGGCATTTATTTACCAGGTTGGCCTGCCTAGTTTAATTCAGAGGATAGTGCAAAGTTTCAACATTGTAAAGTGCTAAATAATATAAAATGTGACTAGAAAGCTAAACGTAGGGAACAACGGAAAAGATGGGCACAAATACAAACACTTCAATACAATCAGCTTGACTGTAGTAACCTCATATTAAAACTGTGACTTCATTTTAACAGGTCTCTCTAGAATAGTTATATATGCCTGCCAGCCCTTGAGAGAAGGAGGAAGAACACATGAATCAAAAAAGGCCATAAATGCTCATACTTCATTTAAATATACTGTTTAAAAAAAGAAACGCATAGTTACCATTTAAATATACTGTTTAAAAAAAGAAACGCATAGTTATCCGATGGCGCATTTTTATTAGTCTGTAAATAAAATTTCGTACTTGGGTATGTGAAAAGCAGACTCAAATATTTACAGTGTCCAGTGGACTGTGGGCATGAATTGCGTGAGTTTTTGTAATCGTTACAAGGCAGTGGTCAATTGTGTTTAAGACCATATTTGTGAGCATAGCTCACACTGCAAGCACAAGAAAGCAACACAATTTGCGGTGAGCACTATTCACTGCCTACGCAATTTAACCCTATAGAAGGATAATGCTACACCAAAACAATCAGTTCATTTTCAAGCAGACACGAATGATGCCTCTACTGATAAATTTATGGAATATGGCTATTGGCCGATTGCAGGCAGAAGAAAGTCAAAGTCAGGTTGCCAGGCATCTAAACGTGCACCAGAGTACTATCAGTCGACTTTGGCACCGGTTCCAAGCCACTGGTTTAGTTGAAGATCGACATCGCAGTGGACGACCCAGATTGACAACTGCAGCGGAGAATTTCTTTATTCGGCTTCGGAAGTTTAGAGACAGGTTTAAAACAGCATCCTCAGCTGCACAGGCATAGCCTCCAGGATGTCATGTGTCTGATCAAACTCATAGATATCATCATCATCAATTTCCACTTCTGTTGTTAAGCCTTGTGGGAAGTAACAGGTTGTGATCCATTGCTTGATGGGTAGCAATGGCTAATGTCATTCTGTGTCAATGTAGAAGCTCTTTAATGTCATCAATCCATGTTTACCTAGATCGGCTTCTTGCTTTCACTTCAGATCTGTACGTGTGTAGCACCGCGTTGGTAGTTGTTCTGGCTGCATTCTTACTAAATGACCTAACATCTGATCTTCTGTTTCTCACTGAATTTGCTGCATGGTGTTGTTCCTACAGTCTGTCTAATAATATCATTTCTAACGTTGTCTCAGATGGTTAAGTTGGTGGCTTTTCTCAGCCATCTCATTTCACACATGTTAATTTTACATAGGTTAGCCTTTGATAATGTTCAGCTTTGGCACTGGTAGCACAGTGTTGGTATGAATATGCTGTTTATAATCTTTTTATTGGGCTCATACTTATGTTTAGATGTCTTAATAACGGTGTCAGTTGGTATAAAAATGCACTGGCTTGTTGGCTTATTGTTTCTATTTCTTGATCTATTCTTCTGTTGTCTGAGAATATACTTTCTAGATATTTAAAATCTTCAACTTATTCCAGACAAATAACATTCAACCCGATGTGCAGAACACTATGAATTCTGATGACCTGCATTACTTCAGGTTTAGTAGTATTTATTTTCATGTTTGATCTTCTGCATGTTGAACTCAGCCTGTTTGAATAGTCTTGCACTCCACTCCCCTCTTTGTAGAACAGGCACTGATCATCTGCAAATAGTAGCTCATTTACTGTGTGTGTATACCTAATTATTCTTCCGGAAAGTAAAGTTCCTCATTTTCTCTCTATGTATGTAGTAAATAAGAAAGGAGATAGCTCACATCCCTGTATTGATTGTAAACATATCAGACATGCATACCAGATATATCTGTATGCTGAGAAAAAAACATATGTCAAGCTTTGCATTTATTGATAAGCATCTACCTGTCTATAATATAAAGAGCTAATTTCTTACCTGAATAACCGTGAACTCCATATTAGACTGTCCAGAGCAAAGCCAAACATCACCAAAAATGACATTGCCTATGGTAAGCCCCCCTAACTCTGACTGAACACTGATGCTCACTGTTACATTAGCATCTATTGGGTCCAGGCTGAAACTCCATACACCGATATCTGGAGACTGGCCTTGCTGGACTGTTGTAGAATAATAGTATTGGCGTGAAGGTGTTCTCATCTATACAAAATATAAAAATATAAATATGCACATGTAGATTATAGTACTGGCATATAGGGGTTCTCAAATAAATAAAATACAGATAATGTAACAATAATACACATACAAAAATACCAGTCTTTGTCCATGTCATCACAAGAAATCGCTAAAACTGACTGGCCGGGGCCAATTCCCTGTAAATGTTACTTTTTTAACTTGTTCAATTACCTGTTTAGGAAACATATAGTTTATGCTATTGGCTGTGCTGATGCCTGTGCAAACTTTCATGAGGACAGGATGTGAACATAATGAAACAAGTGGGGGGTTTTCCTTCAAAGCAAATGTTTTTTTAAAGCAGAGCTGGCATCAAATTTTCCCATAAGCCTCAGTGATGGAGGTCATGGCGTTATGCTGTGAGTCACCTGAAACGTATTTTTTAGGACCCAGAAATGTATTCCATTTCATGTCATTTAATTACCCCCTTTATATATTTTAGACATTTTTTAAATGCACACAAATAAACATTTGTTTTAAAATATAATGGTGACCTTGTAAAACTTGTTTAAATGGATATTTTTAAAGAATTCAAACAGGGCCATGGCCCATTCTTTTTTTTTAGCATTACAGGGGTAAACTGGGTAAATGAGATGACTGCTTTAAAAAAAAATGACTTCCTACCTGAGCAATGACTTTTTGACCAATTGCAGATGAAAACCCATAAATATTGGCTCTGGCTGGTGCTTTCTGTAGTACCATATTATTTTGGAAATGTTTAGCAAAAGCAAATGTTTGACCAAGCTTGGGCGCTCTTTTACTTCCATTATTGATTCCATCTGCTGAATAAACATAAATATGGCTGTTACATGAGATCATTGCATGAAACATTATCTCTCAGCAACACAGAACTGGTAACTGACTTACAGGTAGAACAAACATATTTTAACAGGGTTCTTGAGTGTCATTAATGACGAATTTGATTGTTGTTTACCACAAACCAAACAGAGGGGAAATACTGACATGCTTTATGATCTGAATATCAAGGGGAACCGGCTTACTGAAATATCTCAGCTATACTGAATGACATAATAAAGTATATCAAAAAGTAAAGGTCACTACCCACACCAGGAATAAAGTATATTCCCACTCGTAAATTCTGTTTCAACTACACAGTAAAGTAAAAAATCAAAGCATTAGAAGAGGCTGTAAAAATTACATACAACACCAGCTCTTATTGCCACCAAGTGGCCATCTTCTTAAATGTCCTATTGGTACTGCAAGTGCTCCAGAATCTTAATCTCCCTCATCTGAGAGCTCAACATATCCACTGTGGAAATGAAACTGCGGATATACATGCTTAGAAAGAGGACAGCAAAGGAAGACAATGAAATTACATACTTTAAAAAAAAAAGCATTTTTATTAGAGGTGAACAGAGCCAATGTTGATTATCACTTACTAAGTAAGTTACAAGACCAGCATGGACAGGTTATCATTCTACACCATAGGACAGGGCATGAGAAACTCAACAAGCATCTGCACAGGTTTTGTCTGTGTAGTTCACAACTGTGTCCATCTGGGCTGTGCATTCAGCCCATTAAGAAGGGAATACCCAAATTTGTATGGAACTAAAAATGAATTCAAAATACAATTAGGTCAATGTTTATTGTAAAGAATCATTAGCCTGTATAAAGCAGAGGTGCAAAATCAGAAAAAGAAAATGCTGGAATGGTTTGGAGTGAGCAACAAAGAAGGGGGAGGGGGGTGGTTCTTGGAACAAAACACAGAAGATGACCAGCAAAACAGTGGCACTGGATCCATGATGTGTCATGATGAGAGCCATGTTCTGCAAAATAACTTGTTAAGTGTTGACGATTATTAGCAGATAATAGTAGGTAATGATACTTGTTTGCTAGATGAAGATTGAGTATATGTAGCTGTAGGGAATTAGTAGTTACAGATCTTGAGGCTTTAAAACACAGTAAAGCTTACAAGAGTAATAATAAACAATTTTTTAAAAAGTTGGCTATCCTCCGAATAATGGTCCCAAATTATCGAGGCCGAAAATATACCCTAACAGGGCCTCAGTCACATGTAAACTGCGGACTTTCAGCGACTAAAATTGTGAACATCCGGCAACTACCGCTGAGAGTATCTCCTGCGCCGCGGAGCTAAACTAGATGGCTGGGACTCACGAGCAGCAGCTACCACATCTCCTGCAGCTTACTTCCTTTTATTTGCTCGTGAGTCCCCAGACATCTAGTTTAGCCCCACTCCGAGATACTCTCGGCGGTGGCGGCAGTCGCCGGAAGTGCGCAATTTACATGCAACTGAGGCCCTGTTAAGGTATAATTTGGGACCATTTTTCGGAGGATAGCCAAAAAAATAATAAAAAATATGAAAAGTACAAGAAAATGAAAGTTACACAAACATTACACAAGCATGCTTAGTTATAGTTAGCTAAATTGATTTTATGAAGCTATGCTAAGACTAAAAGACCATGTCATTTGTGACTGAAAAAAAAGGTGGGGGGTGGGGGGGGGGGAGACAGAGAGTTCAGACAGAGAACGAGAAGCACAAGGTATTAGGTTTAAAAAAAATTTGATACAGATCTATGACAGTTCAAAGTCAAAGTAATTGATAGAATTTATGACTATCCTCCGAATAACGGTCCTAAATTATCGAGCCGGAAAATATACCCTAACAGGGCCTCAGTCATGTGTCAATTGCACACTTTCATCGTCTTAAATTGCGTGCTTCTGGCGATTTTTGGCGAGAGTATTCCCCACCCTGCCTGGATTGGGGCTAAACTAAATAGCTGGGAATCACGAGCAGCATCTATGATCTACCGCATCTCCCTTCATTTTATTTGCTCATGAGTCCTTGCCATCTAGGGTAGCCCCAATCCACGCCGCGTGAGCGTCGTATGGAATACTTTCGCCCTTTCGGCGGTGGCGGAAGTTGCCGGAAGTGCGCAATTGACACGTGACTGAGGCCCTGTTTGGCTATATTTTCCGGCTCGATAATTTAGGACCGTTATTTGGAAGATAGCTGAATTTATAAACAAGTTATTCCTACCTATAATTTCCTTGACCATCATACGACGAACATTATGTTTGCCATTTGTGTTAGTGTTAGCACTCGCGCTGCTCACCAACAGAAACAGGGCACTCGCTAGAATGCTGATGCGTATCATCTTGAAGAAAACTGTTCCATATATTTTAACAGCTAAATGTTCTGCATGAGTTAGCAAGAACTGTGTTTTCTTGCGATAACACAGTAACTTGAGCTATTCTAAGTTACTGTGAATGTCAGTCAAACACCGCGAGGTGCTGAGCTTTTAAAAAGGCTTTACTTCGAATCTTTCAAGTGTAGCACAGTGATCACATGACTGCTGATCACATGTGGTGTTCACGTGACAGGTCAGCTGATTTCTTGTTTTATACTAAAGTGTTATTTGCAGTTGGACGATTAGTGAACAATTATTTGGAAGCGGCGAGACGTGGTGGTATAGACGAATTATAAGAATACCATGGACAGATAACAAGAATAACGAACATGTCTTTTTTTTTTAAAAACTGACTCAGAAGAGAGCGTATTACCTAAATCAGAAGGAGACAGTCTAAACTCTACATTATGTGGTCTAGCCACGACAAGAAGACAACTGAAGTACATCGCGGCGGTGGGGAAACGAGGCAGTGGGAGACCGAGAGAGAGGATGCTGGACAGTTTGACATCGTGGCATGTAGGATCACATGTGTCACAACTGAAAGTAACGAGACAGGGGAGTTGTAGATAGACATGACTACCAACGCCACTAAGCATGGACTATGGAACACCATCTGTTTCAGATTTAATTGAAAGTACGCGGGACAGACTGTTAATGAGAGACGTGACTACCAACGCCGCACGGCATGGATTAGAAGAAAAAGAAAGTTATTCCAACTTACCAATTGTCACCCCCCCCCCCCCACATTCTTGTGTTTCGTCCCCCCTCCCCACCCCTTCCATCTCAAATTCATTACTAGAAATAAAATCTACACATAGAAGAGCAAGAAAGTTCCCACGCCATTTCTAAAAATAATTTATCCTTAAGCTAAAATCAACGAGGATGATAAACGGCTATGTGAATATGTTAACTCTTTTGGCCTCAAGCAGATGTTACTTTAACCCCTTCTACTCCAGATGTTAAGTAAGTAAAGGACCCTTTTCAGACGTATTGGGTATAGCCTATAGAGCTAGACCTATATTTTATAGACCAATTATCACTTGGTGGCTGATGCCGTCAACATCTCGCTGGCTGTCTTTACTTTCCAAGACTGTACCTGGTTCCAAATCAAGACCAGGTCGACTTGAGAGCCACGGTTATTCTTCTTTTTTTTAAAC